GGTTAATTGACACAGTGCTGCAAATGGCTGACAAGATGAAAACTCATATATTATGACCCCAAACATCCCTAACAATTGTGCAGCTGCATTCATATTAGCAATGGTGGGATTTCGGAGGAGGGAAGAAAACTCCCCAGTGTAGACAAGGCCTGAGAGAAAGCCTTAATGTTCTTTTCTGGGTCTTGTTTGTCAGTCGCTATCGTGCTTCCCTAAAGCATTCTCCCAGCCATCTGCAGATTGCTGATTATGAAGCAGCAGCCGCTGTTGGTTCCATGAGTTGGATGAAAAGAAGTGAGTGGAAGAGTGACAATTCATCCTGGCCCATCTGATAGGTGCACTCAAGGTTCCTGTGCCTGCTCTTCTCCTTTTCTCCTATCCCCAGAGACCAGAGGGAGTCCATTCAAAAAGAACCAGGGAAAACAAAAGTTAACTTTTCCCACAAATATAGACAATATTTGTAAAATGTACTTGTCCTGGGAGGATTGGTTTTCTAGAAACAGAGTATCAGGATTCCCAGCTCCTTGAGTACCCATTGTAGCCTTTGACTACATAAATATCTTTGGCTGCTCTGGTTGGCCTCAAAAGTTAAATACCCAACCAATATACGACCCTTATAGGCAGAGTAGCCTCTAGCACTTGTAGACCAAGACTGTTCCTCTTAGGAGCCCTCTGAAGTAGTGCAGAGCTGTGAGCTCCTTAAGAACTGAGGGAACAGGCATTTTACCATCGGCTCTCCCATGCCTGGCCAGAGATCTCTTTCAAAGTCAAACTATTGCTGCTCCCCCTGAGCTAGGGCCTTAAACTTGCCTTATCCCTTTTCAAGTAACTTGCACTTCACGAGAACTAGAGTGGAGAAAATAGGACCCCCCCTTGATCAGAACAGAGGGGCACCCTGACTCTTTGCACTCTAACAGACAGGGAAGCAGGCAAAGTCAGTGTCACACTTCCTATCACACAGACTCTATTGCAGACCTTCAGGGAAACTCAGTAGCTTGGAAACAAAAAAGTTCTCTTGTCGTGTAATGCACTACCAGTTGAGATCATCTGAGCTCCCAAATTTCCACAGGTGGGAGTTAGTTATAGCTATGTATGGGTTATGTTAGATTGCTATCTATAGGTGACATCTCCTGGTGACAGTGCACAGCATGAGCCTGTTGATTTACAGGGTGTGGTTCTTCTGCATCCATGGGCTTTTGAGAAAGGAGGTACATGAAGAAGGGAGCAAGGGAAGGGGGTTCCTTGTTGCTATTTATAACCTCCAAGGTCTATTTAACCTGTAATTTTCTGTCTTTCTAAAAGATTCTTAGCCACAACCTGGACTTCTGTGTTCCAATGCAAAATACTATTGCTGCTGTTAGACTGCATGATTTAAAAAGAGACCCTCTGGAAACAGAGACTGATTAACTCTCTACAAGCCATCACACTAACTACAGAATAACAAATGACCTCTTTACAAATGTTCCAGCTTAGGTAGCAAAATCTCCATCTTATTTTTCATTATCTTCTTCTTAATCTTGTAGGAAGTTCCTCCAATTTCTCTGGAAATTTCCTGAGTTTGTAGGAGAGTGGAAACCAGGCCTTATTTTATGTTTATAAATTTCCTACCCTATTCTGAATGCTTTCAGAAAAAAAAAAACAAAACAAAAAACCCAACCACAAAAAAAACAAAAAACCCCCCAAAACAAACGCACTAATGATTAATACTTCTGTTGATAGACCAAAGTCTAAATCTCAGACCAAAGCTGGTGAAAAGTTGGTCATCTCTGCTCCCGTAACTTTGGAGTATTGTCTTCAGTGAGTTATATATTCACTGGTTGTTTGCACTGGATGGAGCAGTAATCCATATTGTCAGAGGATGGATTGGATCAGTGGAAGGAACAGTTACCACATCTCTTTCGGGAAGGATTCTGAAACAAAACCAAGAGCTGTTTCTGGCTTCTCAGCTTCCACCAGCCGCTTGAGGAAGTTGGGCTTTCTGGGTTCTGGATGGCGTGTGCTTACCTGTGTTAAGGTACTCTGGATACAAATGATGTAAGAACAAGGTTTTGGATTAGTCTAGACAGATTTGTATCCCCTGAGCTGCCATCAGGAATATCATACTGGTTTATAATCTAAGAACTTTTGGTTAAGGAGGGAATCAAGACACTTTCAAATAAATGAAAGATCCCTGATACAGATTGTTGCTATGATGGTGACTCTGTAGGCAGACATCCCTAGAAAGACCCAAACTATGTTGTGCTGGGCACAGTGCAAGTGCCAAGACCTTTCTTGCCTGGAACAGCTTTCCAACAGTGAGTTTAGGAACATTGGCCCCATGTGAAGATTATTTGCTTATGATTGTATGTAGAAAATCTTTGGACTAAGGTATTGTTACTAGAACTACTCAAGGGAAGACTAATGGAACTATTAATAGCCCATATAGGATGAATCTGTGGAGACGGCAGCTTTGGAGCTATGGGCTTTTAGCAACTGCATGTACCACTTTCTTCCAAAGAAATACATACATGGATATGCTTCAAATAGATTAATGGATGTTATAAAAGTTATTTGCTGCTATGCTTTAAACTATAGACTTTACAGTCTCCGCTTGGAATCCTGATCTCATACAGCAGCTTAAACTTTTGATGTACAGAATGGATGTAGGGCCCTGCGGATTTCTTTATGGTGTGATGGGAACTGAATATTTTACAAAGTATAATTGGGACTACAAGACTTTTCTGATAGCTATGAGATTTAACAGGTGGACTGTGTCCATCTTCCATAGCTGGTTGCTTTTGGGGATGGGAGGGAAGCAGTCTTTGGGAGGCTTGTGATTGGATTAAGAACACTTTGGGAATATTTTCAGCCTTAAGAAGTGTTCTAGGATTACTCTTTCTTTAGCCCATCTGTCTGCAATGTACTTTTCCTATTCCACAGAAAATAACTCAGCTGTCTCCTCAGCACAGTCCTTGCTTGTCGGTGATTGCCTATGTTTGATTGGAGTAACTTTTTGCCTGATTGTGTTTCTCTATTAACCTATACACAGCTAAGAATTTGTAAGGTAGCAAGACAATTGGATTTTTCTAGATAGCCAGTGCAAGAAGTGTTGCAAGGGGTATCTCTGCCCTCTTCAGCGTTATATATGACAATGTAACTTTTTGTTTCCTTCGAAGGGCTCTGTTGTGTTTGTCCACCCCGAGCAGGGGAGCAAGGATGAGAGGAGACAGTTACGAGGGGGGCTCTCTCTCAGCCAAAGCCCAAGACCTTGAGGGAGGTGTGGGACTGGGGGAAACGCCAAAGTCGCACATGGAGCCCAGGTGCGAGCGTTTTCTTTGGGGGCCGCACAGACGTCGGGGTCCTCCGTGGCCTTTGTGGCGACCCCCTCGTGCCGCGGGGAAGCACGGGAGCGGACCGACCACCAAGGGAGGGAGGCGGCTGCGGGGGACGCCCTGCTTTGGGAGCCCGGGCAGATCTGCGAACCAGCGCCCTGCCCCGCTCACGGGAACAGTGTCGGGGCAGGCTCTTACTAAGAGGTCGTTCCCCGCGCCCGCCACCGTCCCGGCAGGAAAGCTCCGACCCGCCGCCGGGTGACACCACCCGCCCCTCGGCCAGGCGCCCGCCATCCCCGGAGACGCCGGGAGCCCGCCGGCC